GTTAACCATCTTATGAGCCCCTAAATCTATCAAATGCCATGAGGCGACTTTTTGCGTTTATCAATGTCCTCGATTATCTTCTTCCATTTGAAGCAAAGGATCAAATCCTCAAGTTTCATCTCTTTGTCGTTGTCTTTGTGTTTATGCAGGTCATAAATCTTGAAGTCTGTTGTGAAGGAGAAAACTTTTTGACAATTTTCGCCACTTGAAATGCTTCGTTCACTGTCGATTTCTCGGCCAAAAAAAAAAAAAAAGAAATTGTACGCAAGGGATTTACCTATAAAGAACTTGTTAATTCTAGCGTTTTCGTTTTGTACTTTGTTTCTTAAGAATTTCGTAATTTCTTGGATTTCTTAACCGGAATTTACACATTCTAGAGTATGTCGCCTAGTTCCTTAAGTATGAGACTTATACACAAGAAATCATTATACGCCAAACATCCGACTCCATATGCCTCCGTGTATCGTTGTCTTCCATAGGAACGATGAAGGATTTTCATGAGGAAACGACAAAGAAAAAGGGTGGTGCAATTAAATAACGCATTTTGTTATCAATTCTGAAAATAAGAGGTGTTGAATTTTGGCTGTCCTTTGCTGGATGGGGTCGGCTACTGTTCGAGTATTTGGATGATAGAGTGTAGCACTCGGCCTTGCACTTGAAGAACCGTTTGATTTTCTTCGGTTGCTATATTATGAATGCGCCAAATTTCGTCTTAAGAACTGTATGGTATGCTAGAATCAAGAAAATGACTTAAGGAAAACAAAGAAAGAATAAACAAAAATAAAATTCGAGACACACATTATTTATGTTTTCTTTAAGACGAAATTGTTCTGAAAAAAACTCACGGTTAGCAGCATATACTTCCAATATGCAACTATTTTTAACTTCTATATTACATACTTGGAATATACAAACTTTCGACAAACAATACTAGAACTCTTTATACTAAATGAAAAATAATAAACCATATCCTATATGAACTTTTGAAAAGTGTAATTTGGCTTTTGAAGCTTGTTGTTTACTTATCTTCAGCTATATCAATTGTTGTCCATTTACCTTATGTAGCTTTCGTTAATCTTGAAAAGTCATTGTACTAAAAAGTGTCCTAGGTGGCCGTCTAGACACCTTCGATTTGTATGAATCAGCTTAAAAAATCGTTCAGGCAACTAGGCAGTGATTAAGTGGGCTCCATGGCAAATTTTCAGCTTTTTTGCTAAAAAAAAAATACTAATTGCATTACTTACTTATCATGGTTTCATTATAGTAAATCAATATTATTATTTGGACTTAGGTTTGTGGATATATTATAAGTTAATATAATTTTATTTTACAGGTAGTAAAAATAAATAAAAAATAAGGTATGCAATCTTAATTTCTAGGCCCCACCTAGGCGCTAATCATGCGTCTAGCGACTTCTAGAACATTGCTCATGCTTGATAGGTTTTGTTCTTGTTCAGCTACTTTGGTATCGTGTTGCCTCAACCATGCGGATAATCTCAGAGCTAGATTCCGCTTCATCGAAGGTTACACGCATGCTCGTGAATCGAATCATCTTTCTAGAAACTTATCTGCAGTCAATAGAATAATGGTGAACAAAGGGGCAAAATACCAATCTTGATCCTAATATGTGACCAAGCCATGTTTTTTAACTTTAACTAGTGTTGATACCCGTGCGATGCACGGAGTGAAATACAAAAAATATTTTATTATTTAAATATTATAAATCATTTAAGACAATATAAAATTTTATTCTCGACAACATTATATTAAGTAATAATATGACATTTATTTATTAACTATTATTGTTAATTTCTATTTTTATATTTTTTTTTTTGTAGTTTTTGACTATTTAGTTTATAAATTTTATTATTTATAAGTTTATAAAATATTATAAATGTATAAGACCATATGATATTGCATACAAATTACTTATATGTAATATAAAATTGTCGTTTATCATAGTCTTATAATTTTTTCAACAATTTATAATTTGCACATTGCTTGATAATTGACCAACATTTAACCCATAATATTTATCTTGCGCTGTATTTATTAAATGCTTCAAATGTTAAAAATTTTGATAAATAAATTTTAATTTTTAATAATTTTTAATTCTTATGCAACACATAATTTTTTTATGATTAAATATTTTATTTCCATGTTTTTATTTTTTATTTATATATATTTATTTAACTTATTTTCAACCTATATAATGAGTTCATTGAACCTATTCGAATATTTAGATATATTATATATTTTCATAATCATCAAGTGCTATAATTTAAATTGTTATATATTGCTATTATATTAACTTATTTTCATTCAGAAAATAGTATATAAGAAAAAATATATATTATTAAAAGTTGAATAGTTTTTTAATGTACATAGATATTTCTAAGATGAAATTTACAATTTTGAATTGCACCCGACCATCAAATTTTATTTTTGTTAGTATATTATGTAGAATTTTAATAGTATTATCATTGCATATGATATATTCATTGGGGATGTACCTTTTTATAGTTAAATTTACTCCATTGCATAAATTTTAATGAATATTTTAAATTACTTATTAAGTTAGTATGATTTAAACATAGTTATTTTGATTGTTTTATTATATATTTTAGGTACTTCAGAATGGTGAATATAATTAATTAAATTAGTACCTACAACCATAGATCATAATGTATTTATCAAATCAATTTCCATAATAATTTTTTTTTAATTGTGTCAATAAATTATCATTAAATTAATATAAGAACTTATTGAAAATATATCTACTAAATATACAATAAAAATTTAAATTTAAGCCAATTTTTAGTTAATGAGCAATAGTCATTGAGCGTACAAAAATTTATTATATTTTTCATGTATAAGATTTGCTAATAAATAAATATTAATTAAATGTCAAATATAGACGAAAAAATTGGGGATGTACCCTTTTATAGTTAAACTGAGTGTGTAAGAATTAATTATGTTTTTCATACATAAAATTTGCTAATAAATAAAAATTAATTAAATGTCAAATATAGACGAAAAAATTTCTCGCCTAAAATTAAGCCAATTATGACAATACGGATATGTCCATTATATAAATATAGATAATATTTGTAAAAAAGTCCACGAACTCCGATGAACTTGACAAGTTTTACCCCATGGGGTAACCCATAAGGTTTTTTGCCACATGTTCCACAGTGTGTATATGTGAATGTGTGTCCAATACGAATTATTTCATGCTACCCATAAGGGTTCTACCCATTTTTTACAATAACCAATGAAACATAGACATGTGGCAATTTTGTTGCTATCTCCACACATTATTTTGCTATAGGCAAATTAGTTCAAATAGAAATACTATTAATTTTACAAAAGGTAAATAGATAAAATAATAATAATAACAATAATATATTAAAAAAAAATATGAGTGAACCACCGAAAGTTTCAGAACAAATAGGAACACTTATAGAAATAATAAAGAAAACTCAATTAGAAACATTAGAAAAATTAGAAGAAATAAAAGGATCAGTAAAAGAATTACAAGATTTAGTACAAAAAGAAAAAACTCGGAAAAATTATTTAAACCAATTCAAATAGAACCGCCAACAAGTTCTAATGGATGAAATAGACAGATTAACCCAATTATTAGAAAAATGTAATATTGAAGAAACTAGAATGGCAAAAATAGATGATGAAGATAAACAAGGAATAATCTACGGAATAGATAGTGAGGATGAAGATGAACCAACATTTAATATGACTGATCAAAAACTTCATACAACACCTCCATTATCACCAAAACGACCAAGAACAAACAGTAATTAAGCATCTAGTTCACAAAATAATTACGTAGAAAGCAGTTTTAGAGATTTTATATACAGAAATGATTATAGTTATCACTTATCATCAAGAAAAAATTAAGAAAAATATACCACCAGTATATTTAGAAAAAGAAAGAAATCTATCTAATGGAATACTAAATGTAGATTGTGCAACCAATGCAGAAGATTTAATAGTCACTTGGACTAATAAATTAAAATTATTAGTCCAAACTAATGATTCAATGATAAATGGAATGACATTAACAGATTTTTTCAATTACATAAGATATAAAACAACAGGAGTATTATTTGATTATTTAGAAAATACTCAAATCTGACTTAATCTCGAAGCTAGTGGTTCAGAAACAGGAGCAGAATATAAAATAGCAGCTTTAAGAGAATTAACAAAAAATTTATTAAGAGAATTTTTAGGAATTACAGGGCAAGAATCAAAAGAAACACAAAAGGATAAGGTAGTTAGATTTCTAACTAATATGAAGTTATGTAATATATGTTATATCGAAAATTTCTTCTGTCAAGTAAGAGAAAATTTTTATAAAATTAAGGATCGATCAGGATTAATAGAAATTGTTGAAAGTAAACTTAAATATGAAATTAATAAATATATTCAGAAGAAAATTAATAAAACAAGAGAAGAAAAAACTCTAGGAGTTTTAGAAAAATATGCGAAAGAATATAGAGATGAACTTTGTATAAGAAAAATAGAACATCATAAAATGACTAAAGTTGATTCAAGATGTTGTAAACAATTAGAGAGTGTGCCACAAGAGTTTGGTTGTCATGAACCATAT